CCTGAAGTGGGTAACTGCTCTAATGAAGGTCCAGGCTGTGGCTCAGATGTTGTGTGACCAATTACTGCAGCACACTCCATTTTCAGGCGATTGACAGCCTCACTACACTTGGAGGAACTACGAAATCCAAGTGTTTTAAATCTGGGGTCTAAAAGTGTTGATAGGGTCAACACACTTAATGACTCCAGATTGGAAGCAGTGTCTGTGACGCAACGTCTAAGTTGGTCATGGAGATGTGTGGCTGCTTGTGTGTGTAGATGTAAAGAGTTCCGCTCAAGTGCACAATTTAGCATTTTCATCATCGGGATGACCTTTGATCCTGAAACTCTCCTCTCCTCAGACAACTCCACTGTGGCCTGATGGAAAGGGGCCAGCACAAGAAGTGCTTCCCTTAAGATGTTGAACTCATCAGCTGTGAGTGGAGTTAAATCTGTTTGGAGAGAGGCAAGAGACACCCACACTGGTTCTCTCTCATCATGTAGCCGTGACAGCATCTGATATGTGCTGTTCCAACGTGTTGGTACCTCATTGAAAAGTTTCAAGGTGGGCCGTCCCATCTGTTGCTGCACTTGAGCTAGCTTCTCTTTTGCTGTTGTGCTGGATCTGAAGAATGATACAATTTGCCTAGATTTGTGTCTTATGGATGAAAGTTCAGGGATCTGATCACAGGATTTTTTGACTATTAAATTTAGTTTGTATGCAATGCAGATTGAATGTCGAATTTGTAGAGTTCGTGTTGCTGCTATCATGTTTGGTGCTGCGTCGGTCACAAGACACCTTACCTTATTTGTTATGGCCCAGTCGTCCATCATGCCCCTTTTGACTTGGGCCAGATTGTCAGCAGTGTGACTTTGTGGAAAGTGTTTGACTCCCAACACAGATGTACACAACTGCATATTATCATTGATGTTGTGACAGGTAAGAGCTAAGTAAGCCTCCATGTTCAAGGAGGTCCACATGTCAGCTGTTATACTCACTGCCACAGCTTGCTGTACTTCCCTTTTTACTCGTTCGAGTTCCTCCGCTTGCTTTTTGGCCATCATTACCTTAACCGTCTGAAAATGAATCAAAATCAAATTAGTCTAGTACTTAACACATTAATTAGACCACCTGTCATTAAAGCAAGAAAAACATCCAGCTATGAAGTTCTCTGTGTTTTGCCCTGTTGAATAGAAGGTAGGAATTTAAAACTGAATCCAGTTTTATACCCAAATGTGAGCTGACACACCGAACAGAGATTATTCAAGCATGCATGATATTTGAATCACAAGTGTTTATTTTTGTTTGCTGTGTCATAAACCTTAAATCAGACGATGGTCTAATACATTTGTTAAGCACTGTATATATTACATGAGTAACAGCAGCTATCTGAGACATTGTGTATACAAACCTTTCTGGTTGGCAAAACGTAAGATGGATCAAGGGCCTGAATCAACCCCCTGAACCCCTCACTCTCCACAATACTCAGGGGTTGGCAGTCCTTTATAATAAAATTCAGGACTGCTTGGTCCAGAGCAATCTTCCTAGATTCGAGATTTCAAAATAATAAAACATATATTAGTAAAACAACTGTGACAAAGCAAGCCCAGTGTCTATATAGGTCTACCTGTGTTCGTTCTTGGTGTATTTGCTTCCTCTTCGTTTTCATGCTTGACTCTGTAATGTCTCAACATTGAGGAAGTGCTCTTATTTGTATAAGACAACTCGACTGAGCAGATCCGACATTTAACCTAATTAAATTAAATAAATAATTTACACTGAGAGTCAGTCACATTGCTGTTTTCAACTCTGACAGATGCGCAGAAACAAGGAAAGACAAACACGTACCTTATTTGCTGTTAAAAGATCAAAATGATCCCATACAGCAGAAACTTTTCTTTTCCTCTCTGGCTCCATTTTCTTGATGTAAAGAGGGATGTCTTGTTTTATCTTTGAAATGGTAATTTTTTCGCGGCGACTCATCCCGTTGACAGATGCAGAGTCAATACCTTATAAACACAGTTTGGCGCCTCGGCAATGAGCGACACAGCAGCAGTGTTGGTCACGTGACTTTTTCTTAAAGCAACACACGCATCGACACTGATCGACACAGGTTTCGCTCCATGAGCTTGACACATGCGCCGGTGTGTCGGTGTTGCTGGACCCATCACTAGATCCTGGATTGTCTCTGCCTAGCCCTGAAATGATTTGACTGCTTTTGTGACCTCTGGACTCCGACCCTGTTTTGAACCGCAGCTTCTGATCTTGGTCTGCTCCTCCTGTTAAGTATTCCTGCTTCTGCCTCTCTGTTGATGACCTTTGCCTGTTTCTGAAGCCTGTTTCTGAAGCCTATCTATGGACTGAGTACTATTCATTGTGGATAATAACATTTGTCTGTGTCACAGAAGAGGAGACATATTCACAGACAGAAGAGGAGGGAGAGTTTTCTGTCAAAGGAACATCCTTGGAACTCTCCAAACCAATGTTTCCCCCTGCCTCTGCCACATTTTCTCTCTACACTGACCCCTCCAACAGTACTTAGCTGCAGAAACCCAGCGCATGCCCAAATCCTTACTCATTTAATAAAGTATCTGTCTTTTGAAATATATTTAACTCCTGTGTGTGGCTGAATTCTGGGTCTCCAGAAAACTCTTTACACATAGTTCATAACTATATATTTTTAAATGAGTTTACAGTAAAAAAAAAAAAAAAAGAAATACTAGTTCATAGTTTGTTTTTTCAACATGGAAGGGTGAGCCATTACCCAATGAACACTGGCATTTTCCTAGCCTGGCAACTCATCATGTGTGAATATAGTCTGGCCAGAGCCCATTGATGGCTGTCAGTCAAGAGGCGGGATCTACGGGTGTCTTTCAAACTTTTTCCGCTATTGGATAACATGCTATGCTCTGTTAAAGGAGATGCAAATACACCCTTTTTCTAACTAAACTAATACACCTCTATAAGTTCTTGACTCAAAGAAAAGCCCAAGAAGTTGTCCAAAGCTGATGCCAAAGCTGTTTCAAACGAGCTATCGCCATCTTTGTTTTTTTCAGTGGCATCCCACCCACGGAGTGCTGTGATTAGCCCACCAAACGAACGGAGTGTTGTAATTGGACGGCTACAGAGCCATCGGCATATTAGTTTTGCTCAGTTACACTGACATCCCGCCCACCTGACAGTGCTGTGATTGGCCCACCAAACCAATAGTGCTCTGTGATTAGACCCCCTACGAATGTCAGTCAATGGGGGCAGCCTACCATACATCATGGAAGAAGTAGGGAAGAAGACAAAATTACGTAATTAAAAAATAAATAAACGCGCTGTGATTGGCCAGCCACAATACTGGCCGGGGCTGCGGAGGTCCCAATGAAGCACTGATGGACTGACTTGAAAAGAAAAAAACGACCTGCTGACTCCCTATGTACCTACTCGTATGTTGAGGTCAGCTGACCGTCTACTGCTTTGCACTCCCCGGATGTCCTACAAATCACGAGGTGAACATGCATTTGTCCATGCTGTCCCGATGCTCTGGAACTCATTGCCCATTACAGTTAGGCTGGCATCCTCTCTGCCTGTTTTAAAATCTCGTTTAAAAACCTAATTTTATGACTTGGCTTTTAGACAGTGATTCATGTTATCGTATTATGATTTTATAGTTTTTATTGTTGTGTTTTATCTTGTTTTTTTTTCTTTTTTGTTTTAATTGATCAGCCTGTTCAGCACTTTGGTCAGGTCTCATGTTGTGTCTTAAATTGTGCTATAGAAATAAAGTTGATTTTGTATTTTATATTTGACAAATGACTGTCTAGATTCCAGGCTAACATTTTCCAGTCCACGCCTCGCTATAGCTTTGACCCCTACAATCTATTCTCAAAACCATGAGGAAAAACACCCTGTTTGAATGGCTTTTTTTATTGAGGGAATATTTAACAAAGTTAGGGAGGAACAAGTCAGAGGTTGGGACAAATGAATGCACTTAAAAGCGCAAAACATTCATTTTCTTTGAATTAATACACTTTTCACAATTTTTTACTTGTTTTCCAAAAGAAAAGGAAAGGTTATAGAATTTGCAACAATCCACCCCAAATTAATCATCAAAAAGCAAAACAAAGTACATTTATACATAAATAAATACCTGGTACAACTGTATGACTAGTGTTTCCAGATTTGGTGTTTTCCCCGTATTAGTGGTGCTTTTCATTTGTATTTGATACTCAAAAATTCCAACTTCCAGTCTGGAAAAAATCAACTGGAGCAACGACTGAAGAAATATGAACGAGGTCACAAATGATCGTTCAGTGAACCCGTTCAGGCACAACACTGAATTAGAATACAGTACGCTTCTTATTATGCGTGACAGGTCCATGACAGTTTTAAAGAGCAAGTCAACCCCTACCAGAGTCTAACTCCACTCCCACTTCATGTTTGAAGAATGCAACAAATGCTGTTGCCTGGCAGACCGAGAGGGCGGAGCTGCTAACAAATACACACACACACACACAGGCTCACAACAGCATTGTGACATCATAATGTACCAGTTTACATCATAGCATACTTCTTAGCCAATAGCGGTGGCAGATTTAAATTAAAATACAGTGCAGAGTTTTTACCTGACAACGGCACAACACTGCCAGTTAAGGGCAGAATATCTAAATTTTAAGTAAGATGCACTGAAGTGCCAAATTATTGACTGCATGTGTCTGCAGCACGATTAGACACTCGTTTATTTAGTTTATCAGCAAAAAAAAGTTTATTTGGGGGTGACTTGCTATTTAAAAATGCTCAAAACTTCTGTGGTACAGCCATGGATCACCATGGTGATCGATCTGGGTGGAGCATGGAGAAGCGTGGATGTCTATGACTTTGTTTTTACAAAAAAAAATGTCTATGAAGAGCTTTACCAGATCTATTTCCTTCTTTGAGCGCAGTTTGTTTGTCAACTTCAACAAAGCTAAAGTAACACTACTTTGTGTATGAGAGTAAACAAAGCATGAGTAGGTCTGCAATATTAATTTCACCTTCACTCCTGTGGTCCTCCTGAGAGCCGAGCAGACTCAGGGCTGACAGAGGGTGACTGGAGAAAGCAGACCAGTCAGGAGTCACCAACCCACCACTGTGCTGCTGTCGAGGTCGGCTGCGCGAGTTGAGCACAGGTGAAGAGCTGTCCTGCCTCATTCGTAGTACAGCTGCATATGATACCGGTCGTCCAGCAACAGCTCTTGCAAAATCTGAAAAAAGGTAAGATAAACTACTATTTATGCTAATAGCAGATTTCAACGACATTAAGGGTCAGTTCTGGAGAAGATGAAAACAATGCAAATATCAGAATGGCTCATATTACAGAGAAAATGCTTTTCTGTCTAGTCCCGGATAAAAAGAAAGAGGTTCACAGTTTGCATTTAGCACATCCAACAACCAATAAAACCCTCAATGAAAAAATACAACATACTTCTTTTTTTAAACTAAATCTTTAATTGTGAAAGTCTAAGTCTAAAAAATCATATTTGAGGAAGACTTTTCAAATCATCATCAAGGTTATTGTGGTTTTTAGTATGAATAAATGCTCTGTGAGTAATTTTCTCTAGGTTTAGGAAGTAGAAGTTTGAAACGTAGGTGGGCTGAAAAACGGCAGCAATTGAAGTGTTGCTCATTACTATTCATGTATGCAAAATCATAATAATAATAATAAATAATAATAATTATTATTATAATGGTTTGGGTTTATATAGCACTTTTCAAGACATCCAAAGCACTTTCTCACACATTCACACACTACCGGTGTTGGTAGCCACAGCTGCCCTGGGGCGGTCTGACAGTGGCGAAGCTGCCATTTCGTGCCATCGGCCCCTCTGACCCCCACCTACACAGGCATGTCGGGTGAAGTCTTGCACCAGGACACAACAGCAGAGTACCCCTGGCTGGAGCTAGAATCAAACCCATGACCCTCCGATCATGAGGCAACCCGCCTCCTGAGCTACTGCCGCTCCAAGTAAACGTCTCTCGTCTGATTAGCTAGCAGCAATGCAACTCTTTTGCTGCTTTTGTTTGCTCTGCTTTCTCGGGTAAAAAGATACAACATTTATGTTTTATCTCCACACAGAACGCAAGCCCGAATGCTTTTTGCCATCTGAAGTTGCTAATGCTAATGGTTGGCGTCTACAAGCGGGGACACGCTCTGCGCTCTCCTGGATGCTAAATCAGCCTTCCGCTTTCCCAAGCCAAGACGGATGAGTCCACCAATGCTAATTTTATGTTTATGTTTATTTATTTGGCAGACACTTTTATCCAAAGCGACTTACAATTTATAACCTATAGGGCATGTTGTGATCTGTGGGGGAAACCGGAGTACCCGGAGGAAACCCACGCATGCATGGGGAGAACACGCAACTCCACGCAGAAAGGCCGCAGCCAAGTTTTGAACCTGCAACCTTCGTGCTGCGACGTACTAACAACTGCGCCACCATGCAGCCATGTGACATTAAATTTCAGTGTGCCATAGATCTGTCAGGCTTTTTCCGACCCTGGCATTTGCCGAGTCTATTTTCCTTCAGCAGCTAATGCAGACGGCAGGGGCTGAAAACTATTTCCACACTCAGCATGCATGGGAAACTCAGAGTGAGCGATCATATTTTATAAAAAAAACAAGTATCATACATTTCTCAGTGCACCTCACCTTTAATAAAAAAGTCTACGAATTCAATATTCACCTCTTACAGTCAGGTCTTCTCACCTGAAGCATTTAAATATTTCAATAAATTAATTTACGATGTATTTAAAGCTGTTCTAAAATTAAAAACAAATACATGACAAAATCTTTCATTAATATATTAATTAGAAAGCTTCATATACATAAAAGCAGAGGAGAAGAGACACGCCTCCTTAAAAGAGTCCTTGATGATTCTTAACAGGGCAGGATTTCTTGGCACAGCCAAGGTGTTGAAGGAATCTGTTTTGGTGGCTTAAGGATCGGGTCTCTATACTTTTTGCAGATGATGTGGTCCTGTTGGCTTCATCAGACAGTGATCTCCAGCTTTCGCTGGAGCGGTTCGAAGCCGAGTGTGAAGCAGCTGCGATGAGAATCAGCTCCTCTAAATCTGAGACCATGTTCTTAAATCGGAAAAGGGTAGAATGCCTTCTCCAGGTCAGGGACGAGGTCCTGTCCCAAGAGGAAGAGTTTAAGTATCTTGGGGTTTTGTTCACGAGTGAGGGAAAGCTGGAGCTTGAGATCGATAGGCGGATTGGTGCTGCATCTGCAGTTGTGCGGACACTGTACCAATCTGTTGTAGTGAAGATATTGCTGAGCTGGAAGGTAAAGCTCTCAATTTACCAATCGATCTACGTTCCTACCCTCATCTTTGATCACGAGCTTTGGGTAGCAACTGAAAGAATGAGATCGCGGATACAAGCGTCCAAATTAATTTTTCTCTGCAGGGTGGCTGGGCTCTCCCTTTAGAGATAGGGTGAGAAGCTCTGTCATCCGGGAGGGGCTCGGAGTAGACCCGCTGCTCCTCCACGTCAGGAGGAGCCAGTTAAGGTGGCTCGGGCATCTGGTCAGGATGCCTCCTGGACACCTCCAACTGGGAGGAGACTCGAGGGAAGACTCAGGACACGGCGGAGGGACTATGTCTCTCTGCTGGCCAGGGAACGCCTTGGGATTCTCCCGGAAGAGCTGGCCCAAGTAGCTGGGGAGAGGGAAGTCTGGGCGTCTCGGTCTAGACTGCTGCCTCTGCGACCCGACTCCGAATAAGTGGCTGAAAATGGATGGATGAATCTTAATATCATCCTCTGTGAGAAAGCTAAGTTATTACTAAGGCTGTCACTCGTCATTACTGTCACACTTTTCTTCTGTTACTCGTTAGTGAGGAGGGAAATCATTTTGATGCTGAATAACGGAATAAGATTTTGCACTTGTTTAATACAAAAATAATATAACTTAAAATTACAAAACAAATTTAGCCCGAGCAGCTGTGGAAAGCAGCTGAAACACTGGGTGAATGATACTTTTCTAAGCAGATACAACACTCAGCGTAAACGCAAAAGACTGGAAGCTTGAATCGAGTCTAATGAGAGTTCTGCTAAAGGGGTGCGGGAGTGTTTTGCACTACATGATAAAATGCTATGAGAGAACCAAATAAAACAGAGGAATAATTATGGATCCTGAGGGACTTGTCAGCACAAAAATACTACCATCTAAAAATGGAGCAAGCAATTACTGTATAACATCTTCGAGTACAGTAGGATAATATGGAAGCCTGTTTAAAATTAAAAGTATTGTGAGTTTGAATATTGCAAAGCGAAGCAATTGCTAGCTGGATTTAGTCACGGCAGTCACTTAATTCATTTATCATGTCGAGAATCTGCTCAGCTGGGTTGTGAAGCACACTCCTTCTGCTGATTCTCATGATGGTTAAACTACTGGTGCTGCTGAAAATGTGTTTTTGACAGCTGAAAAAAATAAAAATAAATAAGAGTTTGCTGTAGGAAGCAGAATGAAATGGGACTCGCAATACCACAACATGTCACATGTGACAGTTGACCTGAATATCTTGACAAAACCTAATTACATGCAAAAAGATGGTAATAAAGATAATACTTAATAAAGAAACAATATGCATATTAGGTCTAATCAGTGGACTGCTCATTGTTCCTCCTTCAATAGCATCATGTATAAAATACAAATAGTTTATTTCATCAACTTGGTGAATAGTGTTATAATAAATAAAAATGACAAAATAATTTCTTATAAAAAGGAGAAGGATGTCTGTTGTTCCAAGGTGCATTAATGTTATGTTTCCCAAAGCTTAAAACCAATGTGAAATGTACTTTGTAATAATCTAAAAAGGAACCTGATGTAGACAGAAATGTTGATGCTGCAGCAGTGAGACATTATGGTCACCATAGTAACCACATATCTGTATTTTGTGGTTATAATTGTATCAGAGCTGCGAAGGAGAAATCTACAAAGATGGCGGTGGCTCAGGGACGTCGCTTGTTAGAAACCCTACATCAACTTTGGACGATTTAGACTTAGACTTTTCTTTGAGACATGAAACAGATACAGGTACTTACGTCATTTATTTAGAAAAATTACCTACTCTCTTCCTTATTTGTTTTGTACGGTGGACTGTCCCATTGACTGATGGCCCTAGAGATGGCTGTGTCAGACCGATTGGTCCTAGCTTGGAATGCAACGATGCCACTTTTTTCCAAACCGATAAAATACTGGTACTTGGATCTGAGTATCAATTGCTGATACTAATACCACACGAAAAAAATGCAATTAATTGGAATACAGGTTTTATTTTCTTCTCTGCTTTCAACAGGAAAAGATGGTGAGGTAGATAAAAAATAGAATATGTTCATAGAAATGATCGTATAAGTAAAATATTAGGTGAACAGAAATGACAAGTTAGAGTGAAGCTCCTTTCAGGCAACTGCACTGGTATCGGTTCCTGGTATCAATACCAATGAAGGTATCAGTATTGGCCCAATACAGATACTAGTAACGGCGGATCCCTAGTCAGAGCATTGTTCGTTTCCTCCCTATGACCAAATTCTTTTGTCGTGGCCAGACTACTCATTAACTTTACTGGCATAGGCTTGCCAGGCTAAACTTCACCCATGCTATATGGAAATCTGCACACTATTTCTGATTGAGATGCATGTTTTGATACAATTTATCATGTACTTATTTATTTATTTTTACCATAGCTGCAATTAAATTAAAAAATACAGCTGATTGAAATTAAATTAAGTACCTGAATTGCTAATTGGTGTCCCAATGCATTTGAAAGTGGAATAAACAGAAACAAAACAATCCATAAAAGTTAGAAAAACAACTTTTATTATTACTAGACTTCAAAACTCATAGTTGCTCCGACTCCGCACCATACCCTTTAAATTGCAAGAAGTCATTCCAGAATGTTTCCACTAACATGCATTCCCATATGGAAGTGCATCCTATTTGTTGCATTCACATGTGTATGAGTGACAGCTGTGCTGTGGCAGTTGCAGTGTGGTGGGGGAAAGCTGAGTGATGACAAGGAAACAGCTTATTACACAGTAGGTTGACAGAGTTTAAAGATGACAGCTGCAGTGTCTTCGTTCAGCCAAGGTTCACAACATCGGCTCATTTCACTCACACAAATGGAAAGCTAGCGAACTCGAAGATGTGTCAAATCAAGTCAGCGCCGGTTGTTGTGTTAATCAATTAGAATGAGATAAACTT